ACAATAACTTTACTTCTTAAGAACTCAAACTGTCTTGCCAGTTGCCACCAATGGCTTTGTAAAGATGTCAACATTTTGCACTTCACTAGGAACATACTAAATTCTTATCAAATTTGCTACAACTTACTCTCTTACATAATGTGTCTCAATATGTTTTGTTTATATTCTGCCTCAATCTCAATAGGTTCTACAAAGCTCTATAATCTGCCTCAGTGGATGATAAAGCCATTACTTTTCTGTTTTCTACAACTCCATTGCACTACATTAGGACTAAGAAAAACATAGCTTCCACTTGTAGATCTTCTATCTTTTACGCAACTTGCCCAACTATATTTGCATAAACTGCATAGTACTTGCTGGATTGAACTGAATGCCATAAAATAAGGTCCCTTTTAAGTACCTAAGTACTCTTTGCAGGCCTGCCACTGGAACTGAGTTGGTTGCTTAAGAAATTGACTTAGTTTATCACTAAGAAAGCAATGTCAGGCTTGGTTAAGGTTAAGTATTGAAGAGCACCTACTGTGCTTCTATATAAGGCAAGTGTGTCAAACTCCTCACTATCTATAGCAGCAAGTTCAATTCCCAAAGCCATTTGACTGTAGCTTTCCGGTCTACTTTAGAAGATCTTTGGCGTATTTAGCGATTGAGATGAATGCCATTACTATTTTGAAAAGCTTCTAAACTAACAATAACCTATTGAATTCACAAAACAAAGATATTTTTCAGAACAAAGATTATGAAATGAGAACAACAGAGAATGAAGTGCAGAACATGAGAATTGAACAACTCTAACTCAAATCGACAAAAGTACTCCATGAAAACAAACTCCTCACCAACAACACAATACAAAACCACATATTAACAATTAGTGCTTAAAAGCATATTCAACACCACGAATCACTATACTACCACCATCACCAACATCACAGAACAACCCTTTGCAGGATTATACATTCATCACATTTAAGTTCTTATAAGGTCATTATTCATAATGTTATAATGGTTTCAGCACTAATTAACAATTAGACCCTAAAAACACCAAAAATTAACAACAAATATTCTCCACTTTATCAAATCCAACCCAAGAAAAATGCTAGCAGAACATTAAATCGGGCAATTTCATACTAATCCACGAAAGCAAAAACCAAACTAACATCAATAAAAATCCCACTAACCTTAGTAGTCAACTTATAATCTCCTCTCTTCCACTTGCCACTCCACAAATACCGATCACTCTCACACAACCTCCTCAACACAGCCAAAGTCAAGACAATTGCCAAATCCGCCACGTCATCAGTCAACACATCAGGAGTGTCTGTGACTCTTATTCCCTTCTCTTTACACTTCCCCAAGTCAACTTTGTCAAGCCCAACGCTGAAACTCGCCGCGACCTCAAGCTTTGGCAAAGCTTCTATCAGTTCAGCCTCAGCCCCGGCCGCGGCATTCCCGACAACTGCACGGATGCTGTTCTTGTGCGTGTTCAGGAACTGGGTCTTGTCTGAAAAGTTCTGTATATTGAGTCGGACAGATAAAATGGAAGATGAATCAAGATCCAAGCTTTCTACCTGTTTGCCGCATACCTGAAAATTTGATTCGAGTAGGATTGATTTTCAGATAGGATTGGGTAATTGTAATTCACATGAAATAGTTCAGCACCCTTTTACTAGTGTTTTGAAGGCGGTAGATGGTGTCAACTACCCTGGCAACTCTACGATCATGCCACTCGGTTATAGATGATGATGTGCTATACAGTAAACACGGCTTTCTGATTTCCGCAATCCATGTAACATTTGTTATTCTCACAATTATAACTGATTCTAACAAAAAGGGGAAATGAAATTCAAATTTTTTGAATGAATCAATTCTTGTGAACATCCAAATTGCTCATCCGATTACTTTTCCAATCTTAGTCGTCCGATCAATGAACCCTTCAGGTAGCACGTCCGTCAGATTAGCATAATCAGTAGGATTACCAACTTGACCCTTCGGGTGGAGGTTGACATAGGGACCACAAAAACCGATGGCCGCAATGTACAAGCGCACAAGCGATTTCTTTCACTTGGTCCTCACTGAAGCTTCCCATGCTCCCGGGGCAAAGAAACACAATCGATGATGGCGGTGGATCATCAAGCCACTCCTTGTTCTCTGTTATTGAGATGGATCCACCTGATCCTCGATCAATCTCATCACCCTCTAAATTCAAAATGGGTCCCGGTGTATACACAGGTGGGGTGTTGTTCAACTTACCCTCACAGTAAGACTCGATCGCATAGGATTCCAACTCCTTGAATGTATTTACAATAATGCCCTTTGCTTCTCTAAACCCCCTCGCTTGTTGAAACATAACAGTAGTCCACTCTTTCTCTGTGAACACGATAGGCAAATTCCTAACAGGAAACGGCTTAACGAGACTCGGGACAATCAACTCAGTGACCGAGTCTTTCAACTCAGTGATGGGCTGGTTTTGCTCATCACAAAGAACTTGCAAGTGTAACTGCATACTAAGAAAAGCTGCACTGGAGGTGTAGAAAATGTATCTAGGAACTCCAAAATCATTCGCAACTTCAATCATGTCCGCACAGAACATATCGAGAACGAACCCGGCGAGTCGAGGTGAGTCACCAGAGGCTGACTCCGTCTGAATTAGCTTAGTGACTGCTTCTTTGACGAGGGGTTAATGGCTTTTGACGAACGAATCCATGAAGCTTATGCGAGAAGATGATTTTGAAGGGGAAAGATTGACTTCTGGGATTTGAAATTTTGAATGATTTTGAAGTTCGAGTTGAGTGGAGAGAGAGAGTGAATGAAGTTAGATGGGGACTTTGATGTCGAAGGGAAGTACATGACGAGGACGGTGATGGAGAGGCGGTGGTCACAGTGGACAAGGAGCTTTGCCATCTCCATCATCGTTACAACGTGGCCGACGCCCGATGAAGGGATCAACACTAGCTCAGCTTTCTTCGTCCTTTTGTTTTGTACTATTGTTTACCAACAAAGTTGATGGAAAGTTATATACAGGACAAAGGGCTGATGAAGATGATGATAATTAGTATTAATTACTATGCCAGTTTATGAGCAAAATATTTGTTTAATAATAAAGGAATAAAAAAGGTTGCCTGGTCGCCGCCGGGTTAGGTGTGACTGGCGAGATCACGCTTGTAAGTCAAAATAATTTTGTTTGATAGTGTCGGCGGATGTGTGGAAACCGACGTGAGAGTGAGACACATCAATGGGTGTATAACAGAAAAAGATTTTAATATCCTTTTGTCTTATTATACTTCATTTTCTTATTTTATTTTATTTCATTTAATTTTTGTTTTTAAGTATGAATAATGCTATCTTTACACATTAGCGGGTGTATAACAAAAAAGATTCCAACCATCATTGTGAAAAAGTGGCCAAAATCTAATATAATAGCGTATTATTGGATGGATCTAGTTATTAGTATGTTGATCTATTATATTCGATCAGATCTATGATGGGTCGGCTAAAAAATGTTAGATCAACTACTAAAGATCTGACGGTTGAAAAAACATTACTTTGATACCATGAACAAATTGTATTTGAGAGAAGAGAAATTTTTTATTCAGCTTAAAGGGATCCGTTTACCAGAAGAACAATTTATATATATATAAATAACCATAGTTAGTCAATCACAGTTAATTAATCATAACAACTAACTATTTAACCAATTAACTATACCACTTAACTAACTAACTGACAGATTAATTAGCTAACTAAACTAATTTACTGATTATACTAATAATCCAATAGTCATGTTGGTACAAAACATGTCGAGGACAAACCCGGCGAGTCGAGGTGAGTCATGGGAGGCTGACTCGGAGTGAACAAGCTTAGAGAGGGCTTCTTTGACGAGGGATTTATGAGATTCAATGAATGAAGTGAAGAAGCTTCTGGGGTCGAATCCTTGAAGGTCATGGCTTGGGAGATGAACGAAGTTGATGCAGTCGCTAGCAAAAAGTGAGTTTAGATAGGTGTTAACTTTGGAGTCAAAGGGTAATTTCATGACTAGGACCGTGATGGAGATGCGTTGGTGGCGGTGGACGAGGAGCTTGGCCAGCTCAGGTCAGCTTTCTTGTTCATTGAAGTTGGTTATTGTGTTCTTGAGTTTTGAGAGTAAAATTCAATAAAAGTTAATAGATTTTAAAATGGAAATTAATTAAAGTAAAACTATCTATGTAAACAAGACGATAAGTCAGTGATGATGTAAATGCTTTGCTAACAGGGAGAAGACATGTATGTGTTTGCAGCCTTTCAACAGCCAATCATTTTTTGCAGCTAGCTGTCTTCAGTTTACTACACATGGTTTTCGTTCTCCCATTTTCAAAATCTGTGAAGAATATTCTTATTCATTCATTAAACTAAGAGATGGCATCTAGATTGGAGCTTCAGGTGGCCCTATATCAGCATTTTTTTTTATTTCCACGGCTAATCCTTCCAACATCTCATATATCTTATGACAAGGTTTTTTTATAAGACTTGAACAAGCCTCTCATGTGTAATCCCCCACATATAATTTAGTTATATGGAGTTCTCCGTAGTAGCAACTCCAATATTCATTTCAGTAGCCATGCCACTCGATTATAGATGATGATGCGTTATACGGTAAACATGGTCTTTTTGAGTTACAAATTTGTTATTCTTAGAATAAGGGAAAATAAAATTACAAATTTTTGGATGAATCAATTCTTGTGAACATCCGTTAGAGCATGACATCGACCAACATATTGAAAACATGAAACCAAGAAAATCCATCCAAATTATGCCAATGTCAAATCTTGAACATCAATAGTTTTATAATTTTATGACAAATTGCTCATCACATCATCGATGAACTAATCAAATGAAGCGGATAAAGATCCACCTTCCATCATGGCTTTTCTACTCTTTTCGCTCATCTCCTTCTATTTATTCCTTGTCTTATTATCATTCTCCATCAATTTCCTGATCCCTCTCTCTTATCTCCCCAGCGCTCACAATCACTTGGTGGAGGTTGACGTAGGGACCATAAGAACCGGTGCCCACTCTTGCTCGAGCGCACAAGCAATCTCTTTCACCTGATCCTCATCGAAACTTCCCGTGCTCCCGAAGCATAGGAACACAATCGATGATGGCAGCTGATCATCAAGCCACTCCATGATTTCTGCTTTTGTTTTGGACCCACCTGACCCTAAATCAATGCTATCAGCCTCAAGATTCAAAATGGGTCCTACAGAAGAAATGGGTGGGATGTTGGTTTCAGTTCTAGCATTTGAGAAAGACTTTATCATATTAGACTCCAACTCCATGAATGAATTTACAACAATACCCTTAACCCTTCGGAACCTCCTTGCTTGCTCAAACACTATCATAGACCAATCTTTCTCCAAATACGTAGAAGGCAAAACCTTAGTAGGAATTAGGTTAACGAGACTCGATACTTCCAACTCGGTATCCGAGTCTTTCAACTCAACGGTGTGCATGTTCTAATCATCATAAAGAGCCTACGCATGAAACATCAAACCGAGAGACCCTACACTCGATGTGTAGTAAATATAGCTCGGAACTCCAATCTCATCAGCAATATCGATCATGACTGTACAAAACATGTTGAGAACGAACCTGGCGAGTCTGGGTGAGTCATCGGAGGCTGACTCAGAGTGAAGAAGCTTAGAGACAGCTGCTTTGACATGAGGTTTATGAGATTCAATATATAAAGGGAAGAATTTTCTGGGGTTGGATCCAGAAAGTGGAATGTGATTGTTGGGAAGATGAACGAAGTTGATACGGTTGGCTGCAGAGACTGAGTCGAGGTAGACGTTGACTTTAGAGTCAGAAGGTAGTTTCATGACAAGGACGGTGATGGAGAGGTGGTGGACGAGGAGCTTGGCCAGCTTCACGGTGGAGAAGAGGTGGCCGATGCCTGGTATAGGAACAAAGACGAGCCGAGCTTTCTTTTTCATTGTGTGGATAATCGATGATTCCTTTTGTTGGTTGTGAGTAAAATTATACCAAGCTTTTATGGATATCCTAATAGCGAATGATGTCACTGCCTTGCTAATAGTGAAAAAGGGAGAGACACGTGTAACTCATGCACTAAGTGTACTGTGTATATCATGTCAGCATACAATGCATGTACTACGGTTGAGTATATCATGCACTGAGTGTACTGTGTATATCATGTTCTGATCATCCAGTGAAATAGTGACATGTGTTATCATTTTTCTCTTTTAAACGACGGATGAAATTTCATGAACGACTGTTGCTCCATATAAATTCAGTGGGAAAATAATAAGAAGAATGTTATTTACATGCTGGAATTCATATGAAAAAGTTCAACATCCCTTTACCAGTGTTTTGGAGGAAGAGAAAACAAGGTTAAAACTTAGAACTTAGAACTTAGAATGCCTGGTTGAAGGTCAACTGTTGTAGCTCCTTCAATCTCCCAGGTTTAATTCATATGGTCCACAGAGGAACACTGGCGCAAACTGGCAAATGGCGGTAGATGGCATCGATTCCCCTGGCACCTCCATGATCATGCTGCCCGATTGCAGATGATGATGCGCTAGAGCAAGAATATGGTCTTTTTGAGTTCTGTAATCCATGTAACATTTGCTCCTTTCACAATTATAATTGATATTCTCAAAAAAAGGGAAAATGAAATTACTAAATTTTGAAGTAATTGATTCTTGTGAACATCCATTAGAGCATCACATCAACCAACATATCTAATACTCATGCCAAGGAGAATGAAGCAAAAACAAAAGACCATAGAAAATCCAATGTAGGCATTTTCTTCCTAACTTAATGAATTTAAAATTTTATATATCAATAGAAAATGACTTTAAACTTTTGCTCGGGTTTTATTTGTTTAAAACTTATTCCCATCTAAGATAAAGATTTGTTCAAATTTCCATTTCAATCATCCATTATTCAAGCATAAGGTCCAAACTCTCTATATTACAAATTTATCTACCTGAAATGATTTCATATGTTGAGATATAAAAAGATGTCTAAACTATCAGCTTAAAGAGAATCCTAACAGTTTCAAGAACAAAGTATCGAAATTTAAATAATAAAAACTATATAACAATTTTACATAAAAAAACTTCTCAGATGAATTTTAAACCAATCTTTCATTTTTCTTCTTTGTGTTCACCTAAAAGACAGATTCTGGGACAAAAATTTAGGTATGATCACTTTACTAAGTCAATGAAGAAGATGCTTTGATTACAACAGAGGATAGAACGTAATAAGCAATGAGAATGCAGCCGCTGCAGTTGAAAAAGTGTAAAAGATCCAATAAAGAAATTCATGCACCATATACGTAAAGTCCCCTTGCTGCTGAGCATAGAGTGATATAATTTTTTTAAAGGCGAAATTTTTAACTTCATGCTAGAATGAGAGTTTTTCTGTATTTTACCTGATCAATGAGATAAGGCATGTATAAATAAAGTTTAGCAGCTTATCCACTTTACTCTAATTTAGTCTCCATTGCTTAACTTAACCACTAAAGACCATGCAAACATCCAGAAAATTGCGTCATGCTAAACACTGAGCTGCTCAACTGAGCAAGTTGAGCATTGATCGAAATTGTTAGTCTTGACAGAGGACCACGATTTAGACCTACCATCATGTTGTATCCACAATAATTAAATGGCCAACTACTAGCCTTTCAACAGCCAACATTTTTGCAGCTAGTTGTCTTCACTAAACATGGTTTTCATTCTCCCATTTTCAAAGTCCATAATGAATATTCCAATTCATTCATTAAACTACGAGATGGCATCTAGATTAGAGCTTCGGTTGGCCCTATAACCAACATTTTCCATTTCCATGGCTAATCCTTCCAACTTCTCATATATCTCATCACTTTGCGGATGCTCTTGATCCTTAGACGCAAAACGGTTCACATAACCTCCAGTATCAATCCAAGAACATCCAACTTCTTTTTTCAACCCTCTTTCTCTCAACTCTTTCCTTACTTTGTCAACATTTTCCCAGTTTCCTTCTTCTGCGTAGATATTTGAGAGCAAAACATGATAGCTTGTCATTTTTTTCTTGTATCTAATTCAAACAACTTCTTGGCAACAACTTCTCCCAATCAGATTTTCCATGAAGTCTGCAAGCACCAAGAAGCGAAGCCCAAATTTCCAACACATTCCCCCCTTCACCTAATTTTTAGACAAACTCATAGGCTTCAACCACCCTCCCAACCCTACCTAACATATCCACGACACAACAATAGTGCTCAGTTGAGGGCTGAATCTTGTATTTACTCTCTATCAACTCAAATATTTGAAGACAGACCTTCATTAACCAAGCCAGCATAACTACAAGCAGACAACACTGCAACAAAGGTAACGGCATCAGGTTCAATGTCACATTCTTGCATTCTGCGAAACAAAGAAAGAGCTCTACAATTGCATTTTTTTAGAGGTTTGGGCAGACACATTTTCAGCATAAGAAATTGATCCCGACTTAGAATACGTATCAATAAAAGCTGAGCCTACAAAGATATTTTTGTCCAACAAATGGGGGATAGAAAATCCATGAAGTTGCTTGCCCAAATGGCCAACTCTATATTTCCCATTGGATTACAAGCTGGGAGCACAGATGCTATATTCACAACATTGGGAGTTACGTTCTGCTAGCCTAAAAGTAATGAAAGCTTCCTCAACCAATCCATTTTGGGTATACCCAGCAATCATAGCATTCCAAGTGGCTTGATCTCTGTCTGCAGTACGGCTTCTCTCAAAATTTTGTTGAGAAGCTCTAATCAAACCAGATTTTGCATACATGTCTATAAGATAACTTTCCATTCCCTCAAAATGAATGTCATGCCTTACGAGATAAGCATGGGTCTGCTTTCCAATATCACGGTTTCTCAGATTTGAAGCTGTTGAAGCAAAGCAGTAACAGTAACAGAATCAATCATAAATTATTGTTTCTGCATCTCATACAAAAGCATTAATCCTTCATCATCCAACCCATTCTGAAAAAAAAAAAGCAGAAATCATTGCATTCCAAGAAACAACATCCCGTTCCAGCATATTATCAAAAACTTTAAATGATGTAAGGACAAAGCCGCATCTTGAATACATGACAATAATTGCATTCAATACAATAACTGGCAATGTTGCCAAATGCTTAATTATATAGGCATGCAGCTGTTAAGCTAAGTCCAATCGCTGCAACTGTGAAACTGCTGTTAAGACCGATAAAAAAAGTCACCTCATCAAAATCAATTTCATCTGATAACATAGCTTCAATGAAAAGCACAGTAGCTTCAATAGGGGAACTACTCTGTGCATACCCACCGATCATAGTTTTCCAAACCTCAGTGTTTCTCTCCAAACAACAGAAAAAATCTTCCTAGCGAAATCAAGACAACCAAGCTCAGCATACATGAAAATAGCCAAACTCACAACAAACAAATCATTTACATATTCACTTCCCAATTTAACAAGCAATCCATTAAGTACGTTACCGTTCTTATAGTCCCCTAAACTCGCCAAAGCCGGGAAAACATTAACAAAACTATCAGTACCTGGCGTAATTCCCTTCATCATCATCATCCTATAAACTTGTTTCACTATCGGATTAGATTATAGAAGCAAATTCTATGTAACAAAGCTGAATTCTTAATATGACATAAATTCTTTTTTTGCCTATTTTTGTACATAGGAAATTGTACTTATCAAGGAGAAATCTGTAACAATGATTACCTTTTTTTTAGATTGTTCCTATTTGATTAAATTGTACTAAATGATGTTTATGCCCCTAGACCGTCTAACACCCTCGCTAACCTCCATTATCTGATAGGGGTAACAGTACCACGTTCCAAAAATACTGGATGACAATGGTATGTCTTCCAAACTTATGGATGAATATGATATTGTCCCGAGAAACTAGTAACACGTTGTTTGGGTTTAGGCAGGTTTTATGTTTTACAAATACAACCCCTTCTTCAACCTCAATGCTTCTTCGCCAACGCCTCACAACTCTCACTCGCCAATGTCGCCATCTCTCCACTTCCTCTTCATCCCCAAAATCCCACTTCTCTACACGCACACAAATGACAACCAAACGACGCCGTCACTCTCCAACTCCTCTCGTGGGGAGAGCGCCTCAGGCCAGTTGGGCGGTGGCTTGAAGAAGTGAGACTCTACCCAGCCCCAGTTGCAAACCTCATTCTTTCTCTACCCTTACCACTCCAAACTTCCGGTCGACTTGTTCAGAAAGATTCTGAAGTGGGTTCGGGTTCTAGTTTGAATATTTCATGTGGGTTGTTTCATAGTGGGTTGGTTGTGGATGAAAGCTGTGGGTTTGGGGGAAAGGAGATGGTGGGGACTTGGTTTTGGGCATGAAAATTCTGTGTTTGTGCCTAGTTTGAACCCTTATTGGTGGATCCTGTTCAGTGTGTTGCTCTTGGTGGAGTTCACTCTGTTGCTTTGACTCACTTGGAAGATTCCACTTTCAG